TAGCTGGGTGATAAATTTGGGATTGACTGAACCCACATGCTAGAGTAGAAATCTCCCTACAGGAAAATATGGGAAGAATTAGACTCGTGTGCACACTGGACTTGAACCAAAAAGTGCTTTGAGAGAAAATAAAAATAAATGAATACATAAATTTTTGCTTTGTTGTGTGTATGTTCCTGAAGAGGTGAACTCCAGATGAACTTCCTACAAAGTTGGAGTTCTGGCAGTGGTTATATATTGGAAACATGTATCTATGGGATGGAGGGGCAGAAATCAGTGCTGATGACTTGGACTGATGGGACATGAGGTTATGAGACCATGAAATAGCAACAAAGATATTACTAATGAGATTTTACAGTGCTTAAGGTACAGAACATTGGGACTATCACAGTACTGTCTCCCCAAATGGGCTTTCTTATCCATTCACTTGCGAAAGTCCTGATACTCTTGCGACTGTGTACCAGGAAATTTCAGAAGCTAATTCAAGCTTTCATCTTTTAGTGATTTGACCTCTTGATCATGTCTTTCTGAAACAGCTCATTGCTTGGTGGACCAAAGACACTGTCTGTAATGCAAAACCCAGAAATGCCTGAGTGAGATCAGTAGAAAGCATAGGACTATATGAGCTCCTGCTTTGGTGAATTTGTGCCATACCTTGTACCCTGCATTCCTCACAGACCAAGGCAGTGAGAAAGCCTGTCCCACTACTCCTTTTGCCACACAAAGGAAGCTTAAAAGACTCTGGTCTGGACATAGAAACCATAATTTGGTGTCTGGGTGAAAGTTACTCATCATTAGTGACACCATGTGCTTGGATATTTTATAACAGAATTATGTCATAAGCAGGGTGAGATTTCTCCACAGTTCTGTCACTGATAGCTGTGACTCTCAGTGATATTTTTAAACTCCTCAAGTGATATAGCTCCAATCCATTTAGAGACTTCATTTTTCATGAAGTCTAGCATCTTAGAACTTCAACAGGCCATAAAATATCTTTATGAAGTTTGGCAACAGTGTTATGCGCAAACTGAAAGCTAGAGAGTTTCACTTTGTCAGATTCAGTGATGTGGCAGATTTATGGATAGAAGGGAAAAAAGGACAACTACTAGCTTCCTATCCATATAATATTGTTTATTAAATAATATAAACATGTGCATAAAGTGCCCTCACTAGCCAGCTTGTTCTCTGATTCAGAGGAAAAATAAAATCTACATATATGTACTTCTTGTCTCCACAAGAATATCTCAATTCATCCCATATGTTCTAGCCCCTTTGACATACACGACAAAAGGTTGCAATTTAGGCACAATATACCTTTATGAGTTCTACCCCCTCCCAATATACTTGGTTTATTTCATTGTCATTTTTAAAACCTTTAAATAAGCATCTCTGTGCTACAATTTATCACAGTCAAGAGATAGGGAAGACATTAATACATGCAAAAAGTAACTTAATCTGAAGCACATCAGGTTTCACCTTGCTTCTATATTGCAAGGTCCTAATAAAATTGCTTTATTGATTTATACCACTGGTTTGGCTATTCCAGTAGCCAAGAGGTTTCTGTACATCATTATAGTAGGACACTCATACTTCCATTGAATTATTTCAAAAAATACTCTAGTTCGACATACTTTCAGTATCCCCAAGTGTGTGCCATGTCTTTAATATGGAATATTTATTGATCAGACAAATATATTGTAAAGGAAAAATTCAGTTTAAAAGAAATTATTGTCTAAAATGAAAATTATGGATCTCATTTTCTGCCTCTCCCTTCTAAACAGAAAGTCACAGAATGGTCGAGTGTGGAAGGGACATCTGGAGGTCATCTTGTCCAAGAGCCTAATGTCAAATTATTAAAAAGTGAAAAAGGAAGGTTTTTTCCTTCCCTATATGTTGTCTTTCTACTTTATATCTTTTCCCTATGTATTTTCTTCCTCATCTCTCTGCTCTTCCGTGAAAAGAAAAAACACTCAAAAATTAGTAGCAACTTTTCTTATTCTGTCTCAGAGAAAGTGAAATATTTCTTTAATACATACCATGACTCCATAACAATTTAAGTCCAAGGACCTTGTTTTTGTTCCTCCTCTTGTGCAAGTAGTCTTCATATTTATTATGATTGTTTCAGTAACCTCCATGCTGAATACGAATTATCAGTAAAAAAGGTGATATTTTTCCAATGCCTTTCTAAATCCTTTGATTATTTCTGCTTAATAGAATTCATCCTCCCAATATACTGAGCTTATTTAGGATCAATAAAATGAAGATAAAAACATAAGAACTGGATTTGATATTAATTTCCCTCTTCCTGCTCCAGAACTGGCTAATCATACAAATGGGAAATAAACAAAAATACCTAAGGCTTTAGTTATATTCATTCTGTGAAAATTCGGTAATTTGTTAATACCATTTTATTACATTGATTTTTTTCTACTCTGTACTGTATAGCAAGGCTGAGAGCAGACAAGAGTTTTGTATTCCTATAGATGAATAAATATACAGTATATATATTTACATGATTAATCTTATTGCATGGATAAGATGACACAACTTTATAAAAAGATTTTAGGATCGGACTTCAATTCCACAATACTTTTTTATTTAGTTTAAATGCAGAGGATAAAAGTGCAAAATGCTTGGGAAAAATAATTAATTCCTTGCGTCTACGGTCCAGACATTACACAGAAGGCATGCAAGACAGATTCATGCTGAAATTTATCCTCTCTCTCAGTACAGTCAGACATCTGACTGTAGGGTTTTTTTCTTTTAGTTTTGTTATTGTTGTTGTTGTTTTGTGCAAAAGGACTTGGAACCATGAAGTACCAAAAAACAACAATTTCCTAGAACCATTTTGCAGTAATAGGTTTTTTCAATTGTGCTTGATGAATAATAAGATGCTTATTTTTAAATAAAAAGCATTAAAGTGTCAGGAAATTGATCATTTATTTGGAATGGGATAATTGATTTTTTTAATTCTGTCTGAATAGTTTGCTAATTTTCTTTTTCATTATGTGTCTGTGACAATACACAAACTTTTTTTAAGTTATGAGAAACTATATCTTTCCTCCTTCTGTTATTGCAGGCTATAACAATAAAAAAGAGTAGATCTTTTATTTGAAAATTTGCCACAGGAAAATATGGCTCTGCCAGTAATTTTAAGTTTTCAGTGGTTGCAGATTTCAGTCTTCAGTAATTTACACACAACCTTATTAGGCTGGTCTAGTTTAATAGACTTTAACATTTTGAAGGTTGCATTTTCCTCATCAATGACTGTGAATTCAGCATGGTCAAGTGAAAGACCTAAGAGAGGTCAATAAAGACATTTGTGTTTCTCTGCATTTTTCATGGAAGATGTGGGGATTTTTTAAATTAGTCTAAAGAAATAAAAATGCACCAGTGACTACAGGTATTTAGAATAGTTTTCTTAGCATACTTGAAAAGTAAATCCCAAAGTCAAATGTTCACCAGTTTCTACTCATTTGGAGAAAGAAACGATTGCATCAACTTCTTTGTAAGCTATATAATATGTTCAAGACTCTCAAGGTAACAAGCAGAACAACAGCCATAGCTGTTTGTTCTTCAGCCTCTATTGTGTTTTATGATGATCATCATGGTTATTGGTTTTGCACTGCATTATAATTCTAAGCAAATAGTTTGAAAACTGATTATAGAGACACAAGCTTTCTAAAATATCTATTATTGAAATACCCATTCACATAATAGAAGATAGCTTGATTGTTAAGGTACTAAAGTCTACAGTAAAAAGACCCTGCACATCAGAAAAAGCAATGATTTCTAGTTGAACGGAATCTCATGATCTAAAAATGTGCAAACGTGAATTGTCATAAGGACAGATATGGGAATCAATAGAGGCTACAAGTCAATACACAACAAAATATCAGTCATAGTTTACTTCCTGACTCAGTTTGAAAGGTAAACATATCAAAGCATCGATGATGCCCTTTACAATGATATTTAAGCAAGCATTGCATTTTTGGCTGTGCCCTGTGCTAGCTTCCCTATGCCTGCTCTGAAGGACTGCTTTGTCACTGTTGGACACTGATTCTCGCAGGCAGTGATGTTGAGGATCCCCTCCCTGGGAAAAATACTCTGATCACTTGCTGGCCTGCACAGTCTTGCAGACACTCACTCTATGACATTTGTGCTATTGACATCCAAACAAGAGTATGAAAAATTCTTTATTGTCTGTGGCCTCCTAAGAGCTCACTCTGCCTAAAAATCTGTGTCTAATAGGTAAGTAATTAAGTTCTATTTTCCTAATGGTTATGTGTTCAGGTTATGGCTTGATTGATCATGGTAGGACAGTCTGTGAGGGGTCATCCAAAAAAATGGCCATAATATCTCATTGGTTAAAATGTCATTAACCATTGTACAAATGTCTAAGAATGATATTTAATTTCATCTGTCCTTTGTGGCCACCAAATCATGTAGAATTTATGGAGCAGCACTGATGTCATACTTGATCAATTACCTCAGAACAAGTATGAAAGTATAATGGGTCAGTTTTCATAGAATAACTCAAAATACCACTATTATAAAAAGAAATCTATTATTCATGTGTATTTTATCAGACTGTGCCACTTAAAAGCTATGTCCCAACTTCTCTAGATCAGCCTAAAAATTTATTTCCTTCACTGCAATGATGAGCAGTCTGGGGGAAGCAGTTTTGTGTACAGAGTAACCTGTTCCTGGAAGCTCATATTGTGACACAGGAAAAAATTGTTCACACAGATCCAAAAAGATCTGTTTCTGTATAAAGAAGACCCTGCAATACAGATCAGGTATGATCTCACTGAGAAGTACTCGTTCTACTGCATAACCATGCCTGCAGGTCTAGAAATTTGCCTTGTAACTGCAGCACTTCAGTCAGAAGCTTTTATAGTAGACAAAATATCTCCAATCTCCTTGTCAGAGAACTCTCAGATGTCATAAAGTCCAAGTGGCTCCCAGGTAGCAGAAATAGATTTCTGCTAACAAAGACAGCTCAATGCCTGTGTGGTTGTTGAAAAGCATAGCAAGAAGCTTTTAGAATCAGAAAAGCTTCAGGTACATGTGATAGTATTCCCCAGTTACCATTTTACCTCCAAAAGGTGTTTGAATGAGTTGCTCTGAGATACACAGCTGAAAGGAATCTCTGGGATAATTTATCAGCCCCAAATTGACAGTTTATACCAATACTGACTACTGCTATTTCTGGAGAGTTTTACCTTCTCTGAAAAAAAGGTGCTGTGAGTGGAGGAGGAAAAAGATGATAAAAAATTCAGAACCAGGGTTGTATATGTAATTTTTTATATTTTGGATTGAAGAAAGTCTGTAATTAATTTTTAAAGCTTTTATCTGCACAGTTGAAACATACAATGAAAGCAAGTTAGCCACACTGAGCAAAGTGGTTTATCATCAATGCTGAAAGTTCTGAGAAAGCCACTGTGCAAGTCAAAGGACTATTCATTCTAACAGCTTACAGTTTGATAGTCCAAGGTTATCTGACCTAAAATGAGAAATAGATATAGGCAGTTTTAAAAAAAAGCAGGACAATTATGAGATATTGGAAGAAATAACCTGCAGCTATAAGGCCTTGGACTGTTAGTTCATTAGATTTCAAAGTGTCATAGGCAGCCAGGATCAATACTTGAGTGATAGACCACCATGGAAAACTATTTGGATGTTTCAGAAGTATGCTGGAGTTTCAACAAGCAGTTTAGAGTCTCCAGATTAGATTTTACAACAACATATTCTAAAGCACAACATACCATAATTTAAAACATTTCTTTCATATTTTACCCTCCTCAGTAAGTGACCATACCACTTTCTTCCATTCCAAAGATAATTAGCATCAATAGCTGTCTTTAGATAACTCGAAAATGGTATTTTATACTTAACCCTCAGGCACTGACAGAATTCAGATCTAATGTGTTAAGAGGACTGAAAGAAATTAATAACATTGATATGGGAAGGTTTAGATTCCCAGGAGAAGTAACTTCTGCTTCAACTTTCCCAAGAACAATCAGTATTTAAAAAAATCACATAAGAAAATAGTCTTAGACAAAAAATAATAATTTAAACAATTTGTTTAGACTTAAGCTCATGTTTTAATTTCCAGAAGCTTGAACTTACTTACAGAGTCTTAATTACTCTAGCAAACCCATAGGGATAGAAACTATGCTTTTTCCCCCCCTTTTTTAATTTTGGCATCTAAATATAAGATGACAAAGATAACAAACAGTAAAGATGACTACTAAGAAAGAACTGTCAGTCTTAAACAACAGCTTATTGTAAAGCAGATGCAACTGCCACATAATGGGGGACAGATTGCTTGAATACAGCAGCTTACGCTCGACTCAGGTTCAGCAAAAATCATGAAGAAGTAAATTTATTGTTTGCCTTTCACCAATTAAAATTGTATGGTTAACTCAATAAATGTAAGGCAAAGAAGTGTATCTCACCGTGATTACTTACTTAGGTTATTACACACAACATCTAAGATGCAAGTTTGGCACACTTTTCCAGGAATGAATAACTTTTAATTTTATAAGGCTTCAACTAGAAATGACTCTTATCTAGGGTACAGAGGTTTCAATCCCCCGCTAAAACTTCATTAACCCTGATAAAATTCATTCTTCAGAATGATGAAGAATGGCCACTACCTCGAAAGGACCTTGCAACTTTCTTTGACTGGTCTCCAGAAGTAATTGTGAAATGGAAGTGTCACAATATGCAATAAGATTTGAATTTCCATACAAACCTGAGCAGTAGCCTTCAGTGGTGATTTCCCTGCCTATATCCAAGCCCGCAGGAAAAGGCGTGTGGTAATCAGGGCTAGCCAGAAAGAAATATACAGGAGAAAGCTACAAAACATGGAACATTTTTCATCCTTACCCAGGTATGGTACTTATTCTTCTGTAGCTAGTCTTAGCTTGATAATGAATAACATATGCTGTTCCTTTTTTGTACAATATTGATCTGTTAAACTTCCATTGCATTACACATATTTGCATGCTCACATCTACCATAAAATTTTCTGTTGATATATCTGCCAGCTAAAAAGCATCAAAGCTGCCACTGGCCTGAACACAAATCATAAATTTCATTGTTCTACCAAACAACTATAAGGAAGTAAATCAGATGCTTTGAGGTAACTTAGTTAACATGACGATGCTGCATTTTTTTATGAACAACATGATATAGTGTAATACAAGAAGACAGAAAACACAAATTATAAAATACTGATTACTGGCTGATAAAAAATATGTAAATACTCTCTTCATGTTGACAGTCCATAAAACTGCTTGATAGCTAACTGCAAGATGAAGCTTAGATATCACACATTTGATATATGACAAAGTTTCTTAAATTCTTCTGCTCTGAGCAGTATAATGATCCCCCCAAGGTTGCAGGCTTTATACCTGACAGATCATTGTTTTATAGTTTAATACATTTTCTTCCAACAAAGCTGTGCATAAACAAGTGCTTTAGCAATTAAACAAATGTTGCAGGGGCATGTAATGGTACCCATACCTCATTTCTATGAGCTTGGTTATCTATGTAATAGAGTTAATTGCTCCCACAGTGAGGGACAGAATGGACTTCTGCCAGCCCTATTTAAAGGAGCCTTCTTCTGTGTGTGATAAGCATGAAAAACAAACAAACATGCTGTGCACCTACAGAAACTGTTGGAACTGCTCTGTCCCCTCGAAAGGGTGAAATAACAACAGTGGCACATCTGGCCCCTCACAGCAGGCTGAAAGATTAATTAAGTTTATGAAAGGTAGGGTCCTCTGACTAAAATCTATGGGGTTTGTGACAAATTCATTGGATTTAAGAAGCTGTCTTAAGCTCATGCAGACATTTTTCCCTTCTGTGAAGCAGAAACTAGCTGCAAACACGAACAACACCAAAAGACAGTATACATGGTTAAGGGAAGCTGAGTCTGGGATTCTGAATAGCTCCTTGAACAACAGGCATACTGATTTTAGCAGCTTCACTGAGTAGCTATAGATAGAGTTAGACAAGCTGTTTCTTACAACAGCAGTAAGGAACTGGACTTGGTTAGCTCAAACTCCTTTGATTTTGGTGTTCTAAGCTGCCAAACTCTGCAGAAATTATTTTTAATAATAAACTAAGAAAACAAAAAAGAGGAATCTAATAATCTAACATAAATTTCAAGCAAAAGATGAACTGAGACAAGTGCCTCTGTTCAACAGCATCAGGCAATTGGAATCCTCTGTAGCACTATGTGAGGATTTCAGAGGAATTTTATCAGGTTGAAAAGTTTCATCAAGAAAATGAGAGGGGTGTTAGTACTTAAGCAAGGAGGGTAGCTTCCATTACTTGAAACAGAAACACAGTGAGCATTTTACATTATTCCAGTGAAAAAAATATTGTTATTGCTAAGATATGAAATCCTGTTAACCATATACTTCAGGAAATTGGGAAAATTAACATTTAAACTCAATTACAACATATGGGAGTACGAGTTCTTAGATTTAAATGCTTCAGTAACAGAAGACAAAGAAGGCTGTAGAAAAAAAAAGAGGAGTGTCTAAATAAATGAATGAGTAGTGATATTAAACTGCTTGAGTAGAAACTGTTAGTGAACAAACAGTTATCAAGGCATCTATTTCTAGCTTAAGTTTATATTAGATGGCACAGAGCTGGCAATATAAAACATCAGTGATTTCTTGAGTTTCAGTAAAAAAATGGCAATGGTTTGTGCAATGGCAACCTCCTCTTCTGTCTTACTCTGGGAAGTGTAAAAATGCCTTTTTTTTTGTTTCTCAGAAAGCTTGCTTAGAAACTACCAGCCACTAACTATCAGTTAACAACGAAATAGCAGCCACAGGCTCCCAGACAAATAGAAACTACTCTGCTGAACATAAATTAAAGGATATAAATAATATGTATTTGTCTGTTTATATGTGAATATATGCATTTCTTTACATAAATATATACACATGCATACATTTCAGAGATCGTGTTAACATGCTGTTCCTTAATCTGAGCATATAAAAAAAGAGAAATAATTTGAGGGTGATGTTTTCTCTTCTGAGCTTGTACTGCGTGGATAAGCCTGTTGATTCAAATGAGTGTGGCCTGAGTGTCTCAGTGAAGGCTGGAGGGCTGCAGCAGTGCAGTAGTATGATGTTTACATAAAACACTTTTTCATTATACCAATCAACTTTTATTACTGAACAAAATCAGTTCAGTTGCAAAAAGCATTTAGTGTGTCAGCAAAATAATTTTCTGTTCAGCCTTTAAGTTTTTCAAAGAAAGGGCAGTCAACTTGTTTCTTGCCAGCAAATCTAAATGAAAACCATTAAAATTTTACAGCAGTTTCAAAGACAAAGTGCCTGAAATCTGGGGCTTTTTTGTGTTATTAAAACAGGCTTATATAATATGAGAAGTATGAGCTTAGCAAGTAGCAATATTCTAGTGGACTGTAGAACACTGAGGACTCCAAAGGCATTGGTGTAGCAAGTCTACTCTCAATTTCTAGATACATAAATAGTAAATTCTAAAGATTTTTATGTGACAACAAAATTAACATTTTTGATCCCTATTTCCAGTAGCAATGGACCACCAAAAATAAAAAGTAAGTTCTTTTAACTGGTAACTGTCTAAAAGTTGTAGGAAGGAGAGCAGTAGAGATAAGGTTTGTGAACCTCTTCTATGCTATGGACTGGAAAAAGGGATAGCAGTGCTTTGCAAACTGCTGAGAGGCAGTGTAGACAGCACATATGCCCTATAACAAAATGCAACTCAGCACAAGATTACTCCATAGTGTATACTAAAGTATGGTGCAGAGAAGCCCAGTGATGATGGGTGAGGTAGAGTCTCTGGGGAGCCATCCCTTCTTGTAGAGTGTGATGCCTTAAGCCCCTAATGGTTTTTTATTTTTCTACCTTATAAATTTTATAGGTAATAGAAGTAGGTTTTAGAAGCAACCCTTTCTCCCTCTTCCCCGTAGCACCCCTTAGTTTATACATTCCTTAACCCTCTTACCCTATTCCATACTCCCCATACCAACCCTACCTCTGTATCCAGCAGAAAATGTTTAGTATCTTGTCAAGGCAACCCTGTTCTGTTTGGGGAACGCTTGTATCTTGGCCTAAACCGCAGGACAGAGTCAAAGAACTGGGTGACTCTGCTCTCTGTACCCCGAAGATGATGAAGGTGATGAAGAGAGGGTCCCAAAATGCACCCCACACCCAATTTCTAAGGAGTGGGCCAGGGGGTGGACCAGGCCAAAAGTTACAGGGTGGACACACTTGAGATTGGCCAGATATTGTTATAAATGTAACATCTCGGGCACAGCCTGCGCGCGTGTCATTTACCATCAATTGCCTTGGCACGATTAAACCCTTTCCTTATTTCACCCTAATTAACGGCTTCTGGATTTTTTCTTAGCACCGGCCGAGCAGGCATCAAGTGATACTCACTCACACCCAGAACAGCACAGCAGCCTTAGGACCATACACAACCAAATTAAAGGATGACCTCTATCAGTAGAATTTATCAGTAGACCTTGGGAATGGTACTGTGCTGAGGAAAAAAACGCTTCTTAACCAGGAGGGTCTTTTAAGTGATGTTGCTCCACTGCACAGTCCATTGATGGAATTTTGCTTTCTGATGATTTTTCCAATTGGTTTTATTTGAGCTTTCCTCTACTGAACGCTAACTGTCAGCAGAAAGCTATGGAAACAATGGCTAGTGCAATTCCTCAATATAGAAAAAAGAAATTTTCAGGCAGAGTGACTCTATGTACAACACAGTCTGTACAGTGTTCAGCTTTTACACTTACAAGATGGAAAAATGGAAAGATATTAAATTTAACTTGCCATGCATAAGGACTTGCTCTTGACCTGACAAAAATTTCCAAGTGACATCAATAGGGTACACTCTAGTACATAGAAGAGTGTTGCATGAAACTAAAATGGACAATTTTTCTCTTGTCTAAGAAACATCTCTGAAAGTGATGAGTAGGAGTGGGACTCCCAGCTGAACACTTGATAAACATTTAATCAATGACAGTTAAAGGATGTGGAAAACTCTCCATTGCTAGATGTATTGTTTCCTGTAGATTGATCTAGGATGCCTTTTAATCACAGCTTACTCAGCTGTATAGAGGGATAACTGAGGAAGTAATTCTGTGAGCTGTTTATAGGACCATACCAGAAATACTAATAGTCCCTCTGACATTCAAGTCCGTGAATTTCTGGAAGAGATCTTAAAATGTGAGAGTGGCATGCTCATTTTTCTTTTCCATAGAGAAAGGTTGTCCTGGCCATGAAATCCACATAGTTTTGCTGCACGAGGAGCAGGGTTTATAGTCCTTACAGGGGAGGTAATGGTAACAAGAATTGAAAGAACTGCATGGGATGAGATATGGCTGAAGAGACAATGCTCAGAAGAATGCAGGTTGACAGAAAGGAGCCAAGAGGAAAAATAGGATTTGTTGAGGCTGATGTGATGCAAGGGAAACATAAGCAGCCAGGAAAGCCTTGTGGGCCAAATGAAATTAATGTCACCAAGCTAGTCTAGGTACATAGCTCTCAGTGTACTCTATGGGGCCAAAAAGATAAAATTAAAATGATGGGGGAATAGGAAAAGCAGCTTTTGTATGAGCAAACTACTTTTAGAACTAAAATTACATGCAGAAAAAATAATAAGAAAAGTCTGCCTCCTGTTAGGCAGATTCACATGACCCACAATATAAACGAGCAAATTTGTGTCTCTAGACCACTGTAGTTTTTCTCTAAGTTTTTCTTTAAGTAAAAGATTCAGTATCACTTGTGTGTTTTTTCCAAAGAGCTAGTCTGTGCACAGGCAGGGATTCAAATAATTTACAGTGGAATGTCATTAATCCTACCATTCCAGGACCTCATCAAAGTACCAATTAATGAGAGGTCTTATAAATTCATTGTGGTACTGCTAGAACAAGCAATCACTCTGCCCTTAAATTATTATACTTCCTTAGTGAGCATGAGCACTTTAATGAAAATAACAACTTTGGGTAGCTTTATAGGAAAAGAAGCTTTTTAGCAGAGATCACAGTGACTTAAATTTGGGCTACAATCATTTATGTTCTACTGTATGAATGTTAAGAATAGGCAAATAAATAAATCTGAAACACTGTCCTCAGCGATGTCCTGCCTTTTCAGGATTCTCTGTTCCACAGACTAAAGAATTGAAAGTATGACCTGCATTTCTCCAAAGTGAGTGGTAACACCTTGGTCTGAATGAATCTAGCTCTTCTCCTTCCACTCAAGCTTTCTGGCACGGCAGAGATTTCCCAACATCACTGCACCAGCGGGGGTTTGGAGCATAGCACAGAAATAGATTGTTACCAGCATATCCAGCTGAACTGGGGTTACTGTCAGTTCACAGGTAGTAACTGGCTGTTTCATAACACTGACTCCATCGCTGCATATTAGCAAGGGAAGTATCAGCCAGAGCATGCAGACTGTGCTGCCTGGCAGAAAAAGAATGTGATTTTAGTAGACTTCATTAATGCTAACAACTCCACCTGTAAAAGTACTGTAAATTCAACTGACTGCACAATTGCACTGCCTGAATAAAGTCTATATAATACAATATATAGTGATACGCAATAAACAAAATGGTCACTGGTGGTTAAAATGTTTACTCAGCCAGTGGAAGAACAGAAACTGAAATTCAATGAACTGACAACCTATAGTATGTATAGTTTCTGAGCTGATCCTTTGTATGTACACTAGATGTCCAGACGAAAGAAGATAGGCAGCATTTAAAAGAGTTTGCTTTGCTGTGCTGAGATTAACTACTTGAATGCAGACCTATGGTGAAAACAGACACATGGAAACAGCTACTCTTTTGTTCCAACTTTGCCCATGAGGTAACACTAACATGATACCATGCAGTGACGGAAAATGAGTGAAGGAAACTAAGAACAGGCATCATCCTTTAGTGCAGGATCCAGATAATGCTGGCCTGTTCAGCCTGCTACTAGGACATGCCAGTATTCCTATTTACATAAGCAGAATTACTAAAATTAATTTTGCTATAATTTCATCTCTTCTAGATGATTGAAGCTAAAGCTCAGCTCAGTAACATCACCACAACTTTGAAGCAAAACACTGAGATTTGTATTTGGGGAGATATATAAAATTCTAGAAAAAAATTATGATTAATAACATGATGACAGGGTTAACTAAAAAAGGAAACTTTCAAGCTTGTAAAACCAAAAATGTTCTGTTAACTCAGAAGTGGATTAGAGTGTTCAAAGTGCTTCAGGACTCGACACCATGTAAAGGCTGATTTATACTCCAGGCATCATAATGCCTACCTACTTCGGAATGACAAATAGCACCGTGCTGAGATCTCAATGGCAGTCCCAGAGCACTAACGACAAATGTCTTCCATCTTAATAGCTGAGCCTCTGCAATTCTCCTCACTTAAAATTCTGAGCATTTAACTCTTCTCATTGCATCTAAATCCAGATACAAAAACCTTCAAATCAAACTATTTACCTCAAGTGAAATCTACCCTGAATAATTCATAAGCAACAAGGAGGCTGAAAGTGAAGGAGCTGAAGAGTGTTTTAATGAAATCTAGAGTTTAAAATATAATGGTATAAAAGCTATTATGGATCTTTTCTAACCTTATAAGAAAGAATATTGGTCCCTGTAACAGTGAAAGATCCCAGTGAGCAGAAAAAGAAACACAGTTCAGGTGCCTTATTGTCAGTGATTGATGCTGCTAACAGAATCACACAGATTACTGCAGAGAAAGGGCTGCTATTTGAAGCAATTCCTGACGAAGGAGCTGAAGTGTTCAGATTGATTCTTATACATCCTGCCCCTGTGAAGGAGTATTGATCCTTAAAATAGCTATAATAAACTGCAATTCAATTAGAATGAAGTGTGGAAGTCAGGAAAATGCACAGAAATGCTGGACTAGTGTTACAATGACACTCAACTAACAAGAATTTTTGACTCTTAAAGACCAGGCAAAAAATCACTTATTATGTCATTTCACCATGAGGATAGAGGCTTTATATTTTCCTGTTTCAGCAAATCCTCTTTATAAGATAGATACTATAAAATGCACGGTTGATTTGTCTGGGATATCGGTGACAAGTCAGCACTGTCATCAAATAGAATTTGGTTTATAAGCCAGTTGCTGAATTATTTTGAATTTAGTTCATCTTAACCACTTATCCACAAATGTGAAGAGGGGAGAGAGAGAGAGAGAGAGAGAGAGAGAGAGAGAGAGAGAGAGAGAGAGGTTGTGAACTAGAAAAAACAGCAATAGCCTTACCTTTCAGAAATTCAGAGAAATTAGTGTCTCCAACCAAAATTCTACAGTTCTGGTAAATAATAACCTCATTCCTCTGTGTTACGGATTATCAACAAAGGAGCACAGGCAGTCTAATTACTTTAAACTAACGGGAGTAAGAAATTCAAATATTATTGTGCAGGGTCACATATCTGAGATGGTCTTTGCAGCAATTTTCTTTTTTCCCCCCTGTTTTACACAATGGAAAAATAGCATTCTTTTGTAAACTGGACTGCTGAGTAGAAGTATGTTTCTATCCCAATAATGAGCATATAAATCTTACTTTTGGAGAGTAGTTCACCTGTGATAAAAGTCTCTCAAAAACAGGCATTGTCCTAAAAAGCCCTAGTGAAGGTGTGGATATATAGTACTGTTTACTAAAAAGGCAAACTGGAGAAGAATTTTTGAGTTTTGAAGCACTTATTATCTGAGTCAACTGTAGTAAAGCAAAGTAGTTAACACTTTTGTACACATTTGGAGTATTAATTCATGCAAGTTGTTTGCTGACTAGTGTATTTGGAAGCTGAAGTACATGTGGAAGTCTGTTTTATTGTGGAGAAAGAGGATGGGTTTCTGCATAAGACATCTCAGTCTTGGGGCATGTAAATTAAGTTTTCGGATCAAAGATTTTATAAGGCAAGTCACTTAAATTTTTCAGGTCTTATTTCCCCAGTCATATATATTTCTCAGAATCCTGAAAGAATAAGAAATCTTCCTGTACATCTGTTTAACAGGGAATACAGATACATGTGAGAAAAATTCACCTAGATTTCATAGTAAATAATGCTGCTCAGAGACAAACATTTTAAACATAGAAGGACTATGAAGTTGTTCAGGATCAGATATAAATAAAAATCATTTGACAAAAAATTCCCTTCTAGCTTCAGGGTGAACTTTTGTAAAAAATCTTACTAGAGCTATCTATGGATTACCATATTTATTTTTTGTGAACTTTTACTCCCTACTTTTGAGACATTGGGATAGAATTAACATTACATACATAAAATTGAAGCATATCTCTCCTCCCTCTGCCGAGATGGTAGAAATTAGCTGGCAGTGCTAGGAGAAAAGAAAAAAAGGAATACCCTTTCTCAGAACTCAAATGTCAAAAAGGTAGTTGAATTCATCTTGACTGAGGAATAACTACATAATGAAAATGCATCTGTCCCCACACCTTTCAAAATCTCCAAGTCCCATGCGTTTATATGCCCATGTAGACAAACCACCTGTTCAAAGACTAAGGTCCCAAAAAAACCCTCATTTATTTACAGCAGAGGCTTCATCCATGTCTTTGTGGGTCAAGAAGAATGAACATCAGTCCTGACACCAAAAGGTTTCACTTAAGAATCTGGCCTGAGCTTTGAAGTCTATCAAATGGAGAACTAAATGTAATCCTATGAGTTGAAAATAAGTTGGACAGCTGAGGAAGGACTGCATCTCAAGTTTGGTTATATTCCTATCCTGAAGGAATCACCATCTTCACTCTCCATGATTAACTCATGAGATAAAGGGATTCCTAGCAGTAACCAACCTAATGCAGAAAATGGTCTGAATACCATGAAGAGGACAGGGGATTAATGATGTCAAGCCTGGACTTTGCATGGGAGAGAGGGGAGGAAAAAGAAACTCTTACTAACTTCTGGTAATTCTGACTTCTAATTTGACACCCTCAACTCTTCTCCTCCAACACACACTACTTTTTTCCTTCAAAATAATAATGCAGTCACTCAATTTATCCAGCCTATGCTGGCAATTTCTGTCTCATATGGTAGGCTGGCAAAGGGATGCATTTGTAAATCTACCTCACGTTCTAGTAGGACATGCTCACTGATGTACCCTTTATAAGCCAGTTCAGAAATTCTCTACTTACTGCTCCTTTTCACACCTTCCTGTCCAGTTTGTGACATGGGAAGTCTGTCATGTACTGGACTGAACTCTTGCAAAGGGAGGCTCCTACCATGTCTTGCTCTGGGCAGAGAGGCAAGCATAATGCACCAAGTAGATTTTTCAAGGGCCAAGTTCAGCAAGTAACCTAAAAAGATCTGTGTTCAAAACTCTGCTAAACCACATAACAGGTCTCCAAGGAACAACTAGAACAAGCCTAGGTGAACAAAAGCAGAAAAACGGTGCCATTCACCCTCCATTCATAGTTCTTTTTCTTCGAGGAAACTGCAGCATAAAAAAAAAAAAAAGGAAAAAAAGATTTTTCCTACCACCATCTGTTTTTATCTTGTAGTTTTGGTTTTGAAGTAGTTCATGTTGAAAAAAGTTTCAAAACTTTTCTTAGCCATGTATCAAAGTAGGAGACCATGAAAGATAAATAAGCTTTCCCACTGTTGGCTCTCAGAGTTTACTGTGTTTTTATCATATTGATTTTGCTACAGATAACAGCATTAAAGATCGCTTGGTATCAGCTTGGTAACAGCTCACCTTCACTGGTAATGCCCTAAGTGATCGATGAAATGTATTCCATGGTTTGGTTTTTGCATCTTCAGTCCATGTTATTAAACAAATGAATAAAATGGATAAGAAATAAGTTTAGAAAATTTCAATTAAGACACCACCATAAAAGAACTGATAGACTCAGTCTATGTAATAGGCACAAAACCCATGCTCCTCCCTAATTATTGCATATATTTCAGTATAATAAATAACAATTACCCTTTTGTGGATATCTAGTTTATTGGTGTGTTTTGCCTGTAATTAGTGTGAATAAGCCAAGGAGCTAGTTTTACCAACTTTACACCCCTTGTTTATGGAAACTAGTTCTCAAACTGCTCTTCCACATGGTGACACTTTTGCAACTGCAGCCACACTTTAAGCAAGCTACAGAAGGCATCTGCTGAGTTTCACAGGAATGCGCAAGGAACAGTATGGCAGGATAACACTAGTTTTATGCCAATTCACTGGCACAGACTGTCATAATGGCTAGAAAAAATCAAGAAAGCATGAAAAAATCCTATTCCAGGTTCAATAAGGCAAAGCAAACATCACCACCTGAAAGGATTTGAATACCAAATGAAATTATCTCAGAAACAAAGACCGCTTTCAAGTGGATAACAGTATAATCCATTTATGAAAGTGCTTCTACACAAAGTACTTTCCCCTTCTAAAACATTCCTCCTTCTCCCCGCAGCGCTTCACATGAATGACTCATGTGCTGTAAAACCCTTCAGGGCAGAAATCTTCTATCCATACATGGAAGTAAGTAATTCAAGGCAAGAGTTGTTAATTTATTTGCTCTGATTTTCTGCAAATCTGTGAGGATTTAGAAGAGAGCAAGGCCTGAACTCCCACTCTCTTGATCTCAGGGCTGCCATCGTGAAACAAATTCCAGTAGTGACAGTGATGTTCTACCTCTGCATTCCAGTTTAATAGCAATTTTACTAAACTTTATTTCTAGACTTTCTAAAAATTCTTTCATCTTTTATTGATCCACAGAAAAACATAATGCTTAAATATTACAGTCACTGCATATTTCATAGCTTAGAAGATTTAAACCCATATACATATAAAAAAGTTTAGTCTCATCAGCTGTCATTTCCAATCCATAGCAACTATTTTCAAATTA